GTTCTGATACTGCTCCTCCCTGGGTGCAGCAGTCCTTCATAATCCTCCTCAACTCCACAGAGCAGAGTTGCATCTCTATGGAAACGGAGTTAGAAAATTGCCAGTGGATGTACCGTGTGCATACTGCACTGTCATTACTCCTTCACTTTTAAAGAGTCTCCTGTTGTCCTGAGGAACACGGCAGCATTTATCTGCTTAAATCAGGCAGACTGTGGTGCATCATGGGAATGCTTCTGCAGCGCTGGCATTATTTACTGCAGCAGACTTTGTAAATCAGAGTTTTCATCTATGGAGATTAACCTTTTTATTTGTTGCAGACAGCAGTAAATATCTTCCTGTTTTATTTTTTTTATTTTTATTTTGGTTGTATTAGTGGACGTAGGCGCAGGCTGTGTGAGCTGATGGTGCAGTGATGGATGACTGGTGATGACAGTTTCTCAGCAGTGATGTGTCTCTGCTGACAGTCGCTCAGTGGAGCAGCTCCATGGGTTCGCACTGGGAGAGAGAAACAAACATACATGAGGGGAAGGGAAGCTTTAGAGCATGTTTACGATTCCAAAGAGGAGGTTTTATGGAGTGGAACGCATGGAGAGACCTAAACAGTCCGCTCCTTGTTCCCTGTAATTATTCCTGTTACACTGAAGATAGGAAGGGAGCACCTCATGATAGATGTCCAGGCCTGAAGGTTTCCGTTTTCCGCTCTACTTAGGAAAACAATCTCCTACCTAATTGTTGCTTGTCATCTCCTCTGCAGGCAGGCATGTTAATCATCAAATCATCAGGAGAACCTAAAACAGAATAAATCTCACATAATAAGGTTGGCCTAAAAGCCCTGTTAGAATATAAACATTTAACTCCTTAATGATTTTTAGAGTCGACTCCGACTTGACCCTTAAAGTTTTGATACTTTAAAAGGACCTGATGAGAACTTCCTTTTCAGAGTTTGCCTCAAGTGAAGGTAGATAAATACATGTAAAGCCCTTTGTGTGGTTGGAAAATAATACAGCGCACAGAATGCTGGTCAGAGCTGATGGGACAATTACTGCACTGCAAAAAATGGATATCTAGATATGTCATTTTGTTCTTAAAATAACTGCATTTGTTTGATTGAGGAGGTAAAAGAGACATTTTGCCAATGAAGCAAGACAATTACACTTAAAATAAGAAACAATTATTGCATTGTCTTATTTCAAGTCCATATTATCTAATTATTTTATTTTAACAGTGAAAATACTCATGCCATTGGCAAATTATCTAATATTACCTGCTCAAATTAGGGGTAAATACAATTAATTTAGGGAATTTTAACTTATTTCTAGATTGTTTTTCCAGTGTGACACTAAATTTAGGGATAGCCTAGAAATAAACTGATTAGAATGTCTAAACACTAGGCATGGGTGGAGGTTTACCTTTCAGAAAACCTGACTGCTAAAGTTAAAGGACAAAACGAATATTTCTGATCAAAGCAATATATTAGGATGGCCTAGTCAAAGTCTGTTTAATCTAATCTGTCACAAAACAGTTTCTACACAGCATTGGCTTATAGGTGCAGTTGGTAACTTTTAAAAATATAAAACACTACCACAATGTCCTGAATGCTGAATATCAGACAGATAATTGTTTTTACCACAATCTTACCATCGGTCATCAAAAGCAGATAGTTGATGTTATCGTCACAACCTGATGTTTCCAGAGAAATGTGTGAAAGCTGCGTATCAGCAGCCCTGCTAGCTAGCCTGTGTTTACGGCTCATCTGCAAGGAGGGACTGTTCAAATGTTCAGGGTTAGTCCTTTTTTATTCTGCATTCCAAAAAATATATATATTTTAACCATGTATACTTTAAAAATATTGCACCAATTTCTTTTTGTAATCTTTGATGGGAAAAAAAATCCAATAAAGCGGGGTTTGTGCTTGAATTGGAACAATATGTGGAAAAAGCATTTCCATGCAAAGCAGCTTGACTCTCAGTTTTCCTTTCAGTCTGACATATTAATCTTCCTCAGGATCTGGAGAAAGCAGTTTAATCACACCAGATCGTTCCTCTGGGATTTAAGTTTGAACCTAAATGCAAAAGCAGCAAATAATGGTGCAGCTTCTCCTCCGCAGCTCAGACTGCACAGTAAATAATACTTCATGAGCAACGGCTGGATTCCAGTCAGAGCTGTCCTGTTGTTGTTTTCAATTAGGTTGTGACTTCTCTGAACCTCCCTTCATGGATTAGGAAGAAATATCTACTCCTGATATATTAACAATTCGTCGCTTTGTATTTTCTTAAAATTTTTGATTTCCATCTGCTTTTGTCTCCTAGCGATATAAAAAGTCCTTCCCTCCCATCTAATCTCAGACACAAAGGCGTCAACAAACTCCTGTCAGAAAGTCTTAAAATTCAAACAGGCTTGTGAGTAACTACAATGAGCCGGAGCTGTAACTGCTTCTGAGTGAAATATTCATGACTGACAAGCCTCATTTGGTTTGGTGATGTCGACAGCTGATGCCAGCTTTCACTTTCCCTGGACAGGAGACGGCCCACGTGGGAACGCTCCAGTAGGAGCTGTTAAAAAACGCTGCCCTTGAAATGACATCTTATAGCAGTGGCATGCTACCATAAACTATGGCAACGGTCCGCGGTGCAAAGGCCCACCGCATAATGGCCGTTTGACAGCCACACAGGGACTGTTGGAAGCTAGTTTGCACGTAATATGTAGGCCAGGGCTTTAGTTGGCACATAAACAAGAGGCTGCTGCTGCAGCACCTCTATGTGCACCAGCAGGTAAATGTGGGGAGGGGTGTTAGCAAGCATTAAGCCATGATGAGCTTTTTTCGTCTTTTAAAGACAAAGTTTGTTCTGTGTTGTCTCAAAGGATACCACTAGCAATAGTTCAACCTGCTTTATTAAAAGAAAATAATAATTTCCTTCTGTTGTGACTTGCAGTATTTGCTCATTAGTGCAACAACTGGAGCAGCTTTAATTGTTCCACAGCGATTCAAGCTATAGAAGAAGAGACATGGCCAATGATTTTTGCAATAAACTCATTTCCTAGACTGATAACAGGACTCTATTTATACATGATGTCTCTCAGCAAAAAAGGTCATGGGTTCAAATCCCAACTATTGATTTTTCTGCATTAGTTTGCATGTTCTCTTCATTTTTATTAGCTCCAAAACTAGCATCTTGGATGTATTTGTTGCACTATATTCTCCTATGAGATTAAGTTTTTGTATGCGGTTGTTTGTTGCCCTGACGACCCATCCTCTCACTATGAACCCGACCCAATGTGCCTCTGCACAGACACTGATGAATGGATGTTTATACATTCAGAAACTGGCTGTTAAATGAACAAAATGCAGGAAAAGGCGCCATCTAGTGGTTGGACATAAGTACCACAGCCAATTTCTCTCTTCCCTTTTAACCAGTTCTATACATCTCAGTAAATCAGAATATCACCAAATATTAATTTCTTGTTTATTCCGTTTAAAAGGTAAAAATTCTAATTTTTTAATTATCATACACAGAGTTTAATTTTGTTCATTTTGATGTGTGTGCAGCTTATGAAAACCCCTATTTTTTATTTTAGAAAAGACTGCTATATATAAGGCTAGTTTACCATGTCCATTCATTTTACATTTGGAGCTCCTTTTGTGGCCTGGAGGTGCTCAGCCATCTTTGCTTGATGTAATACAGACCTTCAGCTCGTCTGTACTGTTGGGCCAGCCGATCCTTATCTCGAAAATATTTAGAAGATTCTCGTGGAGTTCAAGTCATGTCGTTTTATTTGCTTTAGATAAACTTATTTCAGTTGCAAAACTACTGAATAAGCCTTCTGTTTCCTTCTCCTTCTGCACAACTTTCTATGAAAAATGCCTGTCCAGAAATGACGTGGAAAAACTTTAAACCAAAAAAAGGTTTTAAGAGTAAAATTGGTGTTTATCAGATTCTTTTTCACATCTGTTTGAGTTTCCGATTTTATATGTTTACATTTCTCCTTTTCAAATTGAGATATGGAACTGCATTATTTTCAAACTACATTTTACAGATCACTTTTGCTGACTTATTTTGCAGGTTTTCTGGTGTGTCCGGCACAGATCTCTTCGCCTGTTCATAACACAAACTTTTTCTCAGCCTATTAGCAATAAACAGCATCAAAAGAGCGTGATGTGACCTGGGATGATGCAGAGACCGCGAGGATGTCATTGAAGTTTGGGCGGAGGACGCTATCCAGGCACATAAGTTCTTAAATATTATGTTTTGTTTGCTTAATTCCCGCCTTGAGAGCTGTAGTATCATGGGCTGCTGATACGAGGCGAGGAACCGTGCTAGGGTGATGTGAAAATAGTTGTGAAGAACCAACCTCGGCATGATTAACTGATCCAAGCTAGGTCCGACCTCGGCATAGATCCGTTTCAGAGGGTCAATGTAAATTGGGCACTAGACGATCAGTGCAGTCCCCAATCAAAAGACACGGGAGGCTGGCTGACTGTTGACTTTTACATCAGTACCGCGGCGCGCCCTAGACGTGAAAGTTATTGGTCTAGCTTCCCTAGAAGCCAAAAGTTACAGTGTGCCTTTAAATAACAATTATATCCATGTAGATATTTAACAAAGTTTAAAGAATTATTATTTGTTTTTTGTTTTTTTAGGTGATGTATCATATGCAGCTTTAAATGTGTTTTATTAATCCAAAATGGTGGCCACAAGGCCTCTGATTATTAAAGATGCAGCCCTCTTATCCCTTTGATTGCTTAAACCATAATATGACCAAAGCATAATATTCCAAATTATTGTCTTGTCTTATTTTATATTTCTGGCAAAGCTCATTTTGGTTTATAATGAGCTGTAAGCCAAATTAAGCAAATGTTAACACTTGAAAAGTCTTATTGTGTTTGATGATCCTGCATGATAGGAATTTTAAAAATAGAAATGTGCCTGTTCATTTGTTTTGTCTACTTACCTAAAACATGTTTCAGTCCATTTCTTTGCTTCCTTAATAATATTTCGCAGTGATCGACATAAAGCTGGATAGACCCCAGGAGCCCCAGACCACCGAAAGCGGCTGCTCCTGTTAGTGCTGAGGCTCCGTCATGGGATTCCACCATCTGCACCACACCGCTTGTTACGTTGCTTTCTATTGGTTAACTTGCTGTTGACTTTGCACGTTGAGATCCTGGTTTCTTCACCCGACCGCCGGTCATTGGTTGAAACTAGCAATATGTGAAATTGGGTCTTCTTTGTCAACAAAAATGCCAAAAAAAAAAAAAAGAAACTTGGTGAAACTGGGGGGGGGGGAATCAAATATCCCCATTCTGAGAATAGATTTATTTTTTTTAATGGGGGAAGTTAAAGCCTTCCTTTTCGTTTTGTTTCCTGTTTTTTTTGCATTATCAGATGAATCCCTCTGGAAGTTTGTTTCCATATTTAGGGACAAGAACACTGAGAGCCTGAAGAACAGACAGGTTGTATGACGAAGCAATTTTGAGAAATGACACGGATCCTGATCTGTATAGATTTTCCACACATCATAACTCTTCTTCAGTATCTCAGAATTAATTACGGAACAGCCAGTCACAACCTTCCTGCCTGTAGCCCTGCTGGTACCCACACATTTGTATTTCAGACATCAAGGATCAGTCTGAACTGTCGAGTCCAGAGTCAGTATGTACTGCATGCCTAGTTGTAAAGCATAGGTACCGTCTACCTGTAAACACAAGTTTAAAAAAAAAAAAAGTAATATCCCACCGGCGACATGATGCGCTGCGTCCACAGCATTCTAGGAGCTGGGTTTGTATACTTGACTTCTTACCACTTAATTTTTTTTTTTTTTTTTTGCTCTTTCCGTGTTGTAAATTTGTGCTTTTTGTATCAACTGCATTCGAACACAGCTCCACTGAGGGCCACTGCCACTTCACTTCACTCCCACCGCATCCCGGCTCCTCGTAGAACAACTTCAGTTTTTATGTCACAGATAGTGTCCAGTTCCTGTTAATTAGCAGTGATGGAGTCCATCCCGCAGCCATGTATCGGTGAACACAGTTCGCTTTGTGCAGACAGATCATCCACACCCTCAACATCTCTTTCCTGTTTCCTCACCGACTAATGACTAATTTGCACATGTAGACCTTTCAGGTTATTACGAAGTTGTACGGTGGCTTAATTCAAAAATGTGTTTGTTAATGAAGTTGTTGCACAATGTGTTTCCACATCTGGGTTTTCTTTGCTGCTTGTGTTAAAACTGAATGAAATCTTGACATTAAGGAATGTTCATTTCCTCCCCTCCTTAGGGGGCAGCTATCTTAACATTCTGGTGGTGAAGTCAGCTAGTGCTAAAAAAAAAAAAACACTACTTGGATTTGACGTGTCTTTGATGTGAAGTCTTTACAGCACTTTTGCAGAATGTGTTTTAGATTTAGAGTCAAAACATAAACTGTTTTAGGAAAATGTTCATTGTTAATTTCCATACAATTTGGAGTAGTTCGCGCTAGATCAGAAGCATTGACTTCGGAGTTGTTTTCACACATCTATTTATGGAGTACTCTTCTAGAAAACAAACACCCTCTAACCAACATATTGAGCCAAATAATAATGCTTAAATGTTGCAGGATTTCTTTACCAGGAGACAGACCAAAATAAAGTGCCATTGAAGCTCTGTGTGGATTTATTTCACAACAGGATGTTCTAAGTTCCTTACTCTACAACCTTGTAATAAGACCAATTTTTGGAAACTCAAGAGTAATAGTTCATGATGGTACAAAAGGTACAAAAATAAAGTCCACCTCATACCATTTCAGCATTTCACAGAGATGGACTTAAATGAGATCTTTACCTGTCAGAGCAGGGGGTGGGGGTGGTCTCCCTGCAGACTTTTGTCATTGTGTCATCACAGATCAATGCATTGAACCGGATTAGTGCTGAACCGGTTCCCATTCACACTGTACAGAGATCTAGCATGTCTCTCCAAAAGGTTAATAAAGATGTCTTATTACCAACCTTATGCCAGAGTTTCTTTTGTACTTTTTAATTTCCTGATCATTTGATGTGTTTTAAATAGTAATAAAGAATTAATAGATTTATGCTTGTTTCTTGAAATAAAACCCTGAAATAATATTAGTGTCACAAGTTGTCACTGAGTGTGCTCTATTGATGTGAGAACCCCGGGGACTGAGGTGTGTCCAGTAAAACAACCAAATGTTTAACTTTCCCCATCAGCCATATAGATTAACCTTACAACAGGGTTTAGACACTCAACCATGGTTCTTCATAACTTAAAAAAAATTGACACAAATTATTAGTGTTGCACCGGTATTGGCGAGTACCAACAAATAGGGCACTGATACCATTTTAAGAGCCAAAAGTTAAACTATTGTCACCCATTCCAGGTAGGCAATAAAAAGTTCTACTGGATTCACTTTGTATTAGTCTGTTTCCTGCTTCACAAAGGTAGGCAGCAGCTTGACAAAGATGGCAATTATTTTACATCCAAGTAGTATGCAGTTCTCCATATATACACACACACATCAATTTCAAACAGATGGTATCGGCCGATACTGCACAGTCAGGTATCGGGTATCGACGCAAAAAAATGGCATCAGCGCAACACTACTAATTATAGCAGAAATTTTTTTTTTTATTGCGGAAAAAATGTCAAAGTTGCCCTCAGCCCAGGTGAGATGGTTAGAAGAGTCTTAAAGTTCAGTTTAAATCATCTACAATTAGTGATATAATATAATTCTGGAGCTACTAAAAGATAATTACTGAGCATCTACATGCTTTCATATTTCTTGGTGTTTTTATTACTTTTCTATCTTGAGTCAATATTTCTATATTATTGGACAGGTTCTCCCTTGGTTTTTTCCCCCGTTTAATATTTTCTCCCTCAGCCTGAGCCTTTGGTTGGTTATTAGATTCCTTTCACCTGTGTCTCCTCATTTTTTCTATTGTCTGCATCTGTTTCTTTCATTATTCAAGATTTCATTACTTAGATTCAGATTAGATTTGTTTCTGAATATTATCTGTTCTTCATCTGCTTTGGAGGCCCCACATATCTTGCTTTGTTCTTTATATTTTATTTATTTTTTATATTACTAATATAAGTTAATGATACAGACTGAAAATTTTGTAATATTTGTCTCATAGTGCACAAAAGTTTATAGATATTGGGTTTGACTTTTAAGTCCTCTAGTTGTTAGTAGAAGAATATTTGGCTTTTTCTGAGGCCTGAACATCAGTTAACAAGTTCAGGTATTTTAACATAAAATATAGTTATGACGGATACAAATGGTTTTTTTTTTTTTTTACATTAAAAAAATAGAAGATGAACAAATACTACTTGTAATAAATGTGGAAAATGCACATTTTCAAAGCCTTTGCTTCTCACATCTTAGAGGGGAATCTACACGATTTTGATTTCAAAATTGTAAATTTTCAAAGCATAATTTTTCTCAAATATGAGTTCAACCTTTTATCATTATTTTAAACAGTTAAATGTTGTAAAGCAGTCGGCATACAGCTTGCATACCCATGTAATTTTGGTGTTCCATATAATTGTAAACATAGATATTAATGTCTCATACACTGGCAATAAAAGTAAGAACAAGCCTGATGGTAAAATGTCCAAATTTAGTCCAATAAGCGATTTAATTCGCCCTGCTTGGTGTCTTGTTGGTTAGAAAAGGGGCCTAATGTAGATGGGGAGGGGGTGTGTTAATCCAGGTGTAGAGGCCGGTTAAATTAGAGATTAACCGGCCTCTACAGACATTTGTGGCTGCTTTAGCGGTTTTACTTGTCCTTTTATTAGTTATTTCAAAAACAAATGAAAAATAAAATAAAAACTGAGCAGGATGGATTTATGATGAGTGCAAAAAGGTTTCATATATTTGACTAAAGAAATAGCAACAGACAGATTAAAATAATGAAAAACAGCAGTGAGTGTTTGTTTGGAGAGAGACACCATGTCTGGATGTTTAGTCTTCCATTCGTCTTTCATTCCTGCAAATTAATAAGGATCAAAAAGTGGAGGTATATATGTTTATATATGTCTGCGTCTTCTTTAGCTTAACTCTACTTGGGAGCTTTAGCTCTGATCTTTTGCTCATCTCCCATCAGCTGCTGTTTACCTTTATTGTACAGCAACACATACATGGTGACTGTGGATTAATCATACCAACACAGGATGCATGTTACCTAATTTTCTGAGCTAATCTTGGTAAATAATTGTACAATGTTGTTGTCAAATAATGTCCTAAATATGTCTGGCATCCAGAGCTGTCTGTATTTTGGCAAAGTATATCAATAAACCTTCATAATATATAATTATTAGAACAATAAAATGATCGTTTCTGTCTGATAAACTACTTCTCTGAGAGCTTCCTGCTGATTAATGGTATGAACTTTACAGGACACATTTATTGTTTATTTACTAATAAAAACCTTCATAGTTTGTATGTTTTTGTACAATAATTATTGAAAGATTATTTCTGCCACTTGTGTTTAAACTGAGGTCACATTCATCTATAATATAACACTTTATGTTTAGATCAACAGCAACATTATTATTTATTTTCTTTTTAATTATTATCATTATTATGTTTTATTCTTACGTTTTTGCTTATAAACATGGTTGGTTCATCTGGCTTTTTGTTTTATGTGAAATTCTTTCATTTTAATACATAAGGCAGTTCTAAGCTTTAATTTCTACTTTAATTTCATGCTTTTTTAACATAAATGATCCCTGACTGCTTCCTTTGGAGATGTTAAAGCAGTTCTTTGTTTACTTGATTGTCTTTTTGCCAATTTATTTGCTTTAAAATCATAAATAAATAAATATATTACATTGAAAGTTTTGTATGAAACATAAATGGATTTAATACCTATGGATTTAATACCTGTACCTAATCTAACCCCTCGGTTTATCCCCTTCCCAGAGGGCTAACACTAATCCTAACAGTTGTCATAACAACACTAGTGAACTGTGAGTAATTATAAAAAAAGAAAAACTATCAGCAGTCTGCAGTTTTCAACCTAAACCTAAAGTCTGTGGGTTTAATATTAATCGAAATCGACCACCTTTCATTTCAGGACCAACTTCCAGGCATTGATCATCGTAACGGAGGCGCCCCCATGCAGTGTTGCACTCTTGCACTCTTGGGATGGATGAAATGCTGTCCAGTGTCATACAAAGTACATAAACTTTCTTGAAACTGAAAATCAGATCAAACTTCCCATGGCCTACATGTATAAAAGTAAAAAACGTTTTGAGGACAGAGACATTTTTATGTGTTGCCCCCTCCTCTCCTCTATTGTCACCCTGGGAAACAGCCCATATGGTTCCTGTCTAACTCTTAAGCTGACTGCAAACACAACATTAACCTTTGCCCCCCGATCATGACCCCACCAGCTCTGTAATAATTATGTTTACTTTAGCTGAAAGAGGGGCCCCAAATTACATTCTGCTTTGGGCCCCATCCAGCCTGGAGCCGGCCCTGCTTCCCAAAGGAGGAATATTTATAACCCGACTGGGAGTTCCTTCCTTCCTAGTTCAACCTAATCCCAGTAACCAGCACTACAGGGAACTCAGGATGAGTCAGAAAACATGTTGTGAAACAGAAACCAGGCATAGCTTGTCTCTGCAGGTTTACTGCCGTAGTCCATTCTACCAGCGCACAGATGTTTACCCTGCCCCTTCCAGTTTTAGCTTTTTAATGGAAATAATCAAACATTCTCATTTTAGTAAAGTGACAACACTTAACTTCCTTTTATTTTTTAACTAGGCTTTAGAAAAACTAATCAAAGTAGTTCACAGAAAAACAATAATTGTTTTTTTTGCAAATTTGTGCAAATGTGGCTCTAAAAAATTGGCGTCCATGCATTCAGGCCCTAACAAACCCACCATTTTCAACTGCGTCAAAAGTCCGTCTATATAACAGCTAAGCCGTTCTGTGAAGGGCAGGGGGTTCTACAGACATGAGTGAACAGACAGCAACATATTGACCACAGAACATGGCGACAGATCAGGGAGAAACTCCTAGAGACGTCTGATGCAGCATACCAAGCTTCAAGTCAGATCCAGATGTTATATGTAGCCTAAATAAACAAGCCTATAAACACAATCTCACAATATTAAACATGGTGGGGGCTGCATCATGCTGTGGGAATAGTTTCCTATCCACTGGACTTTGTTTCCAAGTTTGAAGACATTTTTAACTTCCCATCCAGGAAGTTTTTTCAGTTCAAAATGTCGATAATATTATTACCTGCAGCATAAAAAGTTTAAGATAAAATTTTAGAATGAAAAGATCTCAAAGAAAGCATTTCCATGTGTGATAAAATGGCCTAGTTAACATCCATCCATTAATACAACTAAGAGTTTAAGCTTCAGGAAATACCTGAAGCTTCCTGAAGCACATTTATATATTAAAAATTGTCAAATGTTCTCCTTCCACTTCATACTTATGCTCTGATTTGTGTTGCTCTATCACAGGGGTTCCCAAAGTGGGGGTCAGGACACCCACTTTGGGAATCACAAGAAGGTTTTCACAATCCCTGTGAGGTATATGTATGGAGCGCTGAAATATATCATGAAATATATAAATGTCCCATTTAATAAGTAGCAATTAAAAGGCTGTGCAGTGTGCTGCAGCAGCAGGTTTTAAAGGAGTACTGTCTCTTTAAGAGATTCCCAGCAGATGCAGTCTGTTTGCCAAACCAGTGAGACAACTAACGGATTTCTCTCTGCACTGACCTTAATATGAGTGAAGCGCCACAGGTTCTGCTTAAACATGGCTTTAAAATGAGATTTAACTCCTAGATCCCCCCCTTCCCCCTTTTTTTTTTTAGTCTCCTGACAGCAGACACAAAAAAAAATCCAAGACGAGCGTAGACTGAGGCAGGAGGGAACAAAGGCCAGCTCCATGAAAGTGCTGATCCAGTCCTCTGATATTATCTGACATAAATAAATTTGCCAGATGCTTGATGAATGAAGATCATAATCCACTTTCACGGCTGACTGGACGTTTTGTATAAACCACTTTTTTTGTGTGTTTCCTGTCCTCAGACGTTCTGCTCACATTATCATATTATATAAATAAATAAAACAGGTTTTATTCTTTCTGTTTTAGGCGTCATGAAAGTAGTAGTTTGGAGTCGAGATTCTTTTGATCCAGAAAAAAAATAAAACAACAGTTTATTTAAAAATAGTTTAATTACAAACTCTTTGTCGACAAACTAACATAAATAAAGGATAAGTTATGTTCAGTAATGAGGAGCCAGACCATCTGCTCTGAGGGGGTCTTGGTGGTTTTAGCCCCACTGGGACAGCTGAACTAAATCCCACAGCACCAGCTGGGAGAATTAATCCTGGTAGAAATGAAGTGAAGACCAGCCACCTTCAGAAAACTAACAAACAGGGTTTCTTTTTCTTTTTCTTTGCTGTAAAATGTAATTCCTTAAAAGATATCATCCGCTGAGAGTCTGCGCCATGATTTCATTTCTCTAAAGAAAGAAAAAACAAAAAAAAAAGTTATCAGTTTACTTCCTGCTTTATATAATCTGCTGTAATCTGCCTGCAGAGGATAAATAAATAAACTCACACGTTGCTGTCAGGGATGATGGTCTCCCGCTGTTGCTTGGTCCAGCTGAACCTCCTGAAGATGGCCGGCAGTCTGAGCCTCGTGGAGGAAGGCCTGGAGGAACCGCTGCAACATATAATGAGACGAGACAGAGAGTTGAGCTGCTGTGACAGAATGCGGCGCCACAGAGGAGTTTAGGTGCTAATGGGAAGTCTGTGGACAAATCAGCAGCTTGACACTGAAGTGTTACTGCCTGGGTATGTGGGGAATTCTTAAATTCAGCCCACAGCGTTTGGTTCCTAGAAAGAAGCCCCCATATTTATGTTATCTTTGTGTAGAGTCAAGACAAAACAGTCATGGAAAATCAATTACCAGGGAAGACTAAAATAGATGTTTTCCAGTAAAAGTTGTTTCCTTTCATGAACCCACCACTCTGCTTGTAATGAGGGCTGCTGTTTAGCCTCCATCCTCTCCACCTCGGCTCTTCCTTTCTCTCCATCCTCCTCCTCCTCTGTCAGCAGCTGTGGTATCTGCTCCCACAGCTTGCTGTTGACCCACAGGGCCTCCGGCAGGCTGAGGCCTCTGCCTATGCAGGTCACCCGGCGGCACAGGGGGCAGGCCACGGTGAGGAGGCCGCTCCTGACCCGGGATATGGTCTCCAGGCACGGCTCGCAGAAGGTGTGTCTGCAGTGGAGCACCCGGGGGATCCTGTCTGTGCGGGAGTAAGGCAGGAGGCAGACGCTGCACTCGCCATCCTCACACAGGACCATGGTGGAGCTCAGACTGGGCGTTTCTTTCCTCGTCCTGCTGGGAATCCCTGAGGGGGATCAGGGAGGACGTGTCAAAGCAGGTGACAGCCGTTGATCAAGAAACCGGGTTTCACTAGAGAAGCAAATTACGCAACAACATTCTTCACTAAACTGGAAATTAAATATAAATAAAAAGATACTTAAACTCAAGCTTAAGAAATTTTACAATAAAAGCTTAAATATGATGATGGAAAGATATGAAAGCATTAAACACCTGTAAAAAGTCTAATAATATTTAAAACTAAGAATTAACTTTACAGTAGTATCCTTGTACTTACACTTGACCCTTGTTTGGAGCTGATTCCTCTGCTCTCTGTGGTTCAGTGTCACTTTCTGTGAGAAAGCCCGGCTCGTCTGCCTCCTGTTAGGATTGTCTGCACAGCTTTTGGGGGCGGAACATAAATGTCTCTCTCTTTTATTTCTCCCGGACCTAAGCCCTCCCAGTAACAGCTGGGGGAGCAGAGAGGTGGAGACGCTCTTTGTTTGGCGTTTTGACAGCAAGCAGGTGGAGAGACAGGGCAGAAAGGAAAGGGGTAAGGAGGGGGTGTGGACAGAATGGGAGGAAGAGCTGCTGTAGCTTTCTGGTATTAACAGAGGGCTTGGTGAGTTTTATGTATACCAAAAAAAACAACTTTGAAAAATAACTGGCAATAGAAACTATAGAAAAAGGGAGAAAAACAATCATAAAAACTGGGCTCGTCCGGGATTTGAACCCGGGACCTCTCGCACCCAAAGCGAGAATCATACCCCTAGACCAACGAGCCACACATACGAAATCTCACCACAGTGTTTTTATCCCCAGACATATTTTTCCGTGCAGGCATACTCTATATATATTTTTTTCTGTTTTGTTTTTTAAAAAACGATCCCCCTCCCCGCCAAAGAAAGCCCGTTTGTATCAGTGCGAAACGTTCCATGGAAGACAGTTCAGTTTTGTTCTTTTAAGTCAAGTGGAAGGAGGAATCAATTTACAGGCATGAGACGGACAGCGAAGCGGCATATCATCATTAACCTCAGTCAAAAATGGACGTGTCAAAAATATTTTGGATTTTGGCGTATTTTCATGGTAATATTTCGTTAAAAAAAACACACTAAAAAGAAAGCATTGCATTATCAATAAAGTCATTTATAGCGTATATTTATCTATATAGCTGTAGAAACGCGTGGTATAAAACTTCTTACATCATAGAAATACAAAGAAAACCCGGAAAATAGCAACGGTACAGGTCATCAAAAGAGGGCTCGTCCGGGATTTGAACCCGGGACCTCTCGCACCCGAAGCGAGAATCATACCCCTAGACCAACGAGCCACGTGTCCATGCAAAACACATATGAGCTATAATAGATACGGCTCGCCGGACGAGATCGGTTTTATGAGTCATGGAAATTTATGTCAGACGCACAATACGGTTTAAACTATTACCCGATCATAATACCTTCTGTTTTAGAAAAGTCGTTGGTCCTATTCGGCTGCAAAAAACCGAGCCAGCTTCGATGAGGTTCACGTACAACGTGCTGAGGTCACCGTGGTGGGCGGAGTTACTGCAGGAAGTCAATTGGTCTGAAATCAGTGAAAGGCGGTAGAAATATGCTGCTAAGCGGTTACCGATGTAAACAAATAGTTTTTTACTGACTTTTGATCGTCAGGTTCTGTATCTACTAAACTCTCTTTATAACGTTAATCGTTGTACGTAGATGCTCTGTTCTTACATCGGTCTGTTACATTAGTTAAGCTGCTTTGCTGTTGCTGGGTTCAGTTGGTTGACATGAAACTTTGTGTAACGTTCATTATTTAGTGAAGCAGTGGAAGGCATGAAGAACCTGTTCTATGAGCCTGAACTCTAACAACCTGAGCGACATGGAGGCTCCTCTGGACTCTATGCAGAATCCTGACTTTAGGTAACATGAACTTCAGTTTCTCAATGTTATTTTATATGTTACTAGCTCTAAATGACATGGCGCGGAGCTGGATGGGGGGTCAGGGGTGGCCATGGCCTGTGATCAACTATTA